CCCCCCCGCTTCTTCCCTGCCCGAGGTCCTCCCTCCCCTTACCTGAGCTTCCCTCACCAGGGCAGCCATGTGCTCCCAGCCCAGAAACCCCGGCTGGGGCTTCTGGCAAGGCGGGCAGGCCCCGCTGTTGTTGGAGCCCACTTAAGGTCAGATTCAGTTTTCCACCCTCAATATTTCTTGACAAGTGTCCTGTAACATGTTGACCATGCTCTTGAAATGTCCTCTCCTGTTTTCCTTCTACCTGTCTAATTGGTCCTTCAGCATGTCCTTTGGAAACTCGTTCTCCAAATTTCTGTGGGGGTTCTATCAGGGTCTATCCTTTGGTCCCTCTTTTTTCCCCTGTATATCTTAGCTTTGCATAATTTCATCCAGAAGTAGCAGTTCATTTTCTCCCCTAATGGCTCACAGATCCATCTCTCCACTCCAGACTTCCATCCTTCTGTTCAAATTAAATCTTTGCTCCATCTCTGACATCTTTGTGGATGCTTAACTGTCAGTTCAAGTTCAGCATGGCCAAAGCCGAGTCCTTAATTAGTCTTTCTTCTCCCTACAACTAGAGCTCTCAAACAATTAAAAAACTTGATTGTGATTAGTTGTGCAATTAAAAATAAATAGTTGCAGTTAATTACAGTTTAAATCACACAGCTAAAAACTGAAAATAATGCACAGAAAAACTCGATTATGCAAAATTATGCAGGTATTTTGTATAGTTAGGGTGGGTGGTGTGTGTGTGGTGGGGATTTGTGAAGGTGTGGGGGGGCTGTGTGGGCTTGAGGGGGCGGGGTTGGAGCCTGGGGAGGGGCAGTCTCTGCACACCCTGGCAGGATGCAGTGTACTGAGGGTCAGGAGTGAGGGGCAGCAGCAGGGCTAGAGAGGCTGTGGCTTAGGAGTGAGGGACAGACACAGTGCCCTGCAGGTAAGTCTGTGGAGGAAAGGGACGTGGGGGAGGAAAGGAGCGCAGAGGGTGTGGGAGATCAGGGCCCCCATGGTGAGGGAGGGAGTGGGGCAGGGGCAAGGGCTGGGGTGAATGGGACCAGGGGCTGTGGCAAGTTGTGGGACAGAGCCGTGGCAGGCTCGTCTAGGGCACAGGGGTGTGGCTCCCCACCACTGCATGCCCCCTCAGGGGAGGTATGGGGGGCACATGCCTTCCAGATTTGTGCATGAGGTGGAGGTGGGCTGTGGGCTGGGGCTCTGAGCCCTGCTGCCTTTGCCCTGGGAGCCATGCACTGACCACGTTGCATATCCACTGCCCTACGTTGCGTTGCACTGCTCCTGGGGCAAAGGTAGCAGGGCACTGCCATTGCTACCCCGCTGGGCAGCCCGGATGTGGTGGAGTGGAGCCTGGGCGTGGGCTCCAAAGCCACGTGTGCAATTAACGCGTTAAAAAAATTAATGCAAGAACCAACTAATGCATTAATCATGTGCATTAACTGCGATTAATTGACAGCCCTAACTACAACCCTTTCCACATACTGTTTATGTCAACTATTGTGAGCACTACCACCATTCTGCCTATCCCCATATCAGTATTTTCCCTTGTTTCTCATTAATTATCGACGTATCGGCTTGTGTTTCTAATTAGCCTGCAATGCCAGCCTCCAATGCCCAATTGCTGAAATTTGGTAACAAGAAAGAAAGAAAGGGAAAAAAAAAAAAAGGGCTAAGTATTG